TAGTTAATGAGTAAGATAATAAATTCCTCTCTTTTAGATGTAGATTCTAATTGATTACGTATTCATTAAATTGCTTACTATCTTTATATCCTAGGTCATTATTTATTTTGAAGAGAATGAGAAAGAAGATTACATCTCTTAATCTCTCTTTTTTTTTAATAATAGGGTCAGCTTTAACAATACTCATCTTTTCTCATGAAAAATGACTTGTCTTCCAAGAGAGAAGAGGAGAACAAGTCTCAATTCAATTATTTCTCTCAACAAAATGATAGTTGCATGGAAAAAATTAAATGTCTTTAATCTTCCATTTATTTGTTGCCATAATTCTTATGGCTCAATTTAGGGGTCTTTAATTACAAATATTTTATTTTTGAAAAGAATTAAATCTTGCTGCTATGTGCATGAGAAGTAAACATTTTAGTTGTGCTAGTAATGTTACTTCCTTCTGTGTATTGTTAAGCAAGTCCTTTGGGAATGCCTAAGTCAAAATTGTTATGAGATATTTACACTTCCTACTCATGCAAAACCTTAAACTATTATTATAACAGATAGATGGAATTTACCTAGCTTTATAGAGTGACTATTGGAACATTATTCTAACTATCCTTATTGGAATTAGCATGAATGAAATCTTGTGGGATAATATAGATAATTTTTACAACTCTAAAGGCAAAGATTAGATTGAAGTTATTATGCTTGATAAAGGTTGTTCTATATACTATTCTAGTATTCTTTATTTTGGTGAGCTCATAAGCTTGTTGTTTTAGGCATTGATAATTCTTCATTTTGTAAGTTTTGCAATCATGATAAAGAGTACATCCCAAACATCTTTTTTAGATGTCTAATCTCAATATTGTTGATAAGGAATTTTTTTAAATTGAGTAAACTTAATTAAAAAAAAAAAAAAACTGAGAGTTAGTGCATTTGAGAATAGATCTCACAGTGGACAAAAAAAGATTGTGCGTCATTGAGCTCCACTTCTAAACACAATTCATGAAAAAGATAGTAATTATTATTTTCTTAGGAAAACAATAAAATTGATGGCTTGATGTTATTATGTGTGATAAGTGAGTTTGTCTTGAAATATATATATATATATATATATATATATATATATGAAAGAAATTTTGGTTTATCATAAATTTAAGGACAAAATTTCTATAGTATACATTGTTGGAAGAGAATTCAAGCTTAATATTTTTATATTATACATAATTATTTTCTATAGTATACATTGTTGGAAATTTTGATTTAGATGTAAAATTTTAAAATTTGGAAAAGATATAAAGAGGCTTGTAAAAAGTCTTGTAAAGAGTCTAAAAAAGCAATTTACGATGCAAAGTTTTTAGCTTTTAATGATTTATATAATAAATTAGATACTAAGGAGAGTGAGATATATGTATAAGTTAGTTAAATAAAGAGAGCAGTAATAAGGATTTAGTTCATGGTAAATTGTATTAAGGATGAAGATCAAAAGCTGCTTTTATTAAAAGAGGATATTCAACAACGATGGATGAGATATTTTGCTAAATAAAGACTGCGAGAATGTGACTCACTTTAGTGTATTTATCACTCTAAATGAAAACAAATATTTTTGTTTTTATTGATGTATTAGTGAAACTGAAGTTAGAGAAGATTTAAAGAATGAAAGATAAAAAAGTTGTTGAACCTGATGATATTCCAATAGAGGTGTGGTAATACTTAGAAGATGAAGAAATTTCTTGGCTTATTAAACTTTTTAATATTATTTTTAACACAAAGGATTTTAAATGAGTGGAGAATGAGTGTGTTGATTCTTATTTTTAAAAATAAAGGTGATGCACAAGATTGTGAGAATTATAAAGGAACTAAATTAATTTGTCTTATTTTAAACCTATGTGAGAGACTTATGGAGCATAGGTTGCGGCGTGATACTAATGTTTCTCAAAATCAATTTGGATTAATGCTAGATAAGTCTACCATGGAAGCTATATATTTATTGAGATGCTTGATGGAGAAGTATAGATAGAATAAGGAGGATCTGCATATGATATTATTGATTTAGAGAAAGCATATGAAAAAGTTCCAAGAGAAGTGCTATGGAGAGTTCTAGAAAATAAAAGGGTTAATAATGCTTATATTCAAGTCATTACGAATGTAAATGTAGAACTGTTACTTGTGTTCAAACACAATGTGGTTTGACCAAGTATTTTCATATTTTAATTGGATTATATCAAGGATCAGACTTAAGCCCATATATTTTTGCTTGTATCATGGATGTTCTCTCTAGACATTTGCTAATACTAGAGAGGGAGTTGAAGGTAAACTTGAATTATGGAGCTCATTCTTAGAATCTAAAGGCTTTGGTTCGAGTAGATCTAAAATTGAATATATGAAGTGTAATTTTAGTAATAATAGATCAAGTAGGGAGATTGTGACTTCAGGTGATCAAATCATTAATAAGAGTACATGCTTTAGATATATTGGGTCTATTGTTCAGAGTGATGGTGAAATATATGTTGATATTATTAATAGAATTCAAGTTGGATGGTTGAAGTAGAGAAATGCATTGGGCTTGTTGTGGGGTAGAAAAGTCCCTCACATTCTTTAAGGAAAAAAATTATAAGATGGTGATGAGACCTATAACACATTATGATGCAGAATGTTGGCCATTAAGAGAAGCATAATATTAAGTGTTACATAGATGAATATGCTTAGGTGGATGAGTGGCTTTACTCTTAGAAACATGATACAAAATGAGCATATATGTGAATGTGAAAAGGTTTGAGTGGCTCTAGTGGAAGATAAGATTAGAGAAAGTCACCTTAGATGCTTTGGGCAAATAAAATGGCGACCTTCTAATGACCCAAGAAAGTGGATGTATTAGAATTGACTTATATTAAGAGAGGTAGAGGTAGACCTACGGAGACATAGTTAGAAAATGTTAGAAATGACTTATCTTTATTATATTTAAATGAGAATTTGATTTTTAATAGGACACAGTGGAGAAAAGTATTCATGTAGCTGAACCCACATAGTGGGATAAATGCCTGTTGTTGTTGTATATAATTATTTTCTTATATCTAGTGCCATGATTTCACATAGGAGTGTATGCAAGTCAAGCCAACTCGTAAGCTATCTCGAGCTTGACTCGATTAATTTCTCATGAGCCGAGCTCAATGAGCTAAGAGACATGCTTCAGCCAGTCCTAACCCAACTCATTAGCCCATGAGTCTGCTTATTTAACAAATATTAATATTAATTGCATTTAGCATACATTACATTTAGGATTTTAAGAACAAATTATTTAAAAAGTGTAATTGTATCACATTCTTAAATTAAATGATTCTTTATCCTTTTTCTTCTAATTAAACCATGGACAACTCTAGCCTGGCTTCGCTCGTTTACTCCCCTAATTTCGCTTCAATCCCCATATATTTCCTAATCATGCCAATATATTTATATTGCCACCAAAAATTCATCCCACTAGGCTTAAATCTAGATTAAAGTTTTTGAATTGAAGATTTTTAAGATTTATATATTTTCAGCAAGAATAATGTTATTTATGACTTCCAAACTAAAAATACATGAAAAGATGTGCATAAAGTTAATAAACAACTTTAAATTTTTATTCTTGTTTCCACCAATGCACATAAGCTAAGAATAAAGGCATCAGTTCAACACTTTCCACAATTGATTAATTGATTTCGGCTTGCAACAAAATAACCCAAAATTTGATTATTTTTCCCACCTAAGAACTAAAATTTAGGCTAAAATTGTCATCTCAACTCTTCTGAGAGTTAATTCAGTACCAAATTTTCATCATGCATAGCTTTATTTTTCTATGAAGTAGAATGCAATGTATCCAATCAGCTAACTTTATTCCACTAATGTTTTTTTGGGAAGCTTTTTTACTGCTTTTTAAGGCTTCGTTTGAGACGACTTTTTTTATTATTTTTTAAAATAACTTTTTAGTACAAAAATTAAAATTTTTATGCTAAAAAATTGCTTTAAGAAGCAACAAAAAAATCTCAAATGAAACCTAAAACAACTTTCTAATACTTAAAAAAATTGCTTTGAAAAGCATTAAGAAAATAACCCAAATGAATTCTATTGAGATTAACTATATGAATATTTTTATCTCCATTATAACCTATTAAAAATCAAATTCTCATTTAAATCTAATAAAAAAATATCATTTATAATACTCTAACAAAATTATTTTGGCTCCCCCTCTATTTCTCTTAATATAGATCAGATATAATACATCTTTCCTAACAAAATCACCAGAAGACCGATATTTTATGTGAAACTATCATTTATGCAGAAACTGAAGGAATTCAGTTGTTTTTTTTCCTCGAGCTGCTTCTTTTGACACTTTGGATAATTGTTTCAGTTGAATAGTATATTCAAATAATAATAAGTATTTACTTTTAAACAAATAATTATGCCAAAACCAAAATCTTATAAGCGCAAACATCTTTAAAATTTAATATTATATCTTCAAGAAAACTACACAATATTTAATTTTTAAATAAATTTTGAAACAAAATTGATTCATTCAATTATATTACTGAACTTTTAAATACCAATTCAGTATTTTAAATGCCATAACAAAAAATAAATTAGGCTATCTAACAAAATTTTCACCTGTCTAAGTAGGATTGTCTGGCTTTAGCTTTTAGTTCAATAATTTTTTATATAAAAAACTACTTTAAAATTAGTAAGAAAACCATCCCAAAAGAAGTCTAAAACTTCGTTTGGGACGGCCTTTTTACTGCTTCTTAAAGCGACTTTCTAGTATAAAAATTTTAATTTTTGTACTTAAAAGTCATTTTAAGAAGCAGTAAAAAAGTCGTCCCAAACAAAGCCTAAGGCTTCATTTGGGACGGCTTTCTTTTTGCTTTTTAAAGCATCTTCTTAGTACAAAAATTTTAATTTTTGTACAAAAAAACTACTTTAAAAAGAAGTAAGAAAGCCATCCCAAACGAAGACTAAATGAGTTAACTGCTGCACAAGAATGTTTGCAAGAGATTAGCTATATATAAATTTGTACATGTTTACATACTAACAAAAAATTTAAAAGAAACAGCATATACCTAACATTCTTACAATAACAGTGCTAATCAAGGACAAGAAACCAACAGAAGCTGGGACCAAAAAAAAAAACCTAGACATAATTTACATTGCTAAGTGGTCACAAATTGGTAAGTGGAGGCATTTCATACAACCCTAACAAGTCTTCAAAACAAGACGAAAATGGTGAATACAGCAGAAAGAGCTTCAATGAAGAAAATACAGAAGAGAAGAGAAGAATCATCTCATACCATCTCATCTTGGACTGTTCCAAGGGGGGGAGGAAGGATCATATGCAAATCCTTGAGAAGACATTCCATGATTCAGTTCAAGATTATGCAACTGCTCCAAGAGTTGGGACCTTCGTTCTTTAAAGAAGTCAAGACGTGTAGTTAGTTCTATAAGAGTTGAGGATGCCACCGCAGGCTGTCTCAGATACTCCGTTCCCTGATCACCAGAAACAATGAAAAACTAATATAATATTGTGATTGAAGAGTTTTCTTCTTTTTCTATTGGGAGAACAAAATGGCTCACCTCAGGTAGTTTGGGAGTGTTAGCCATGATGGGATTGGTCTCTGATGAGAAGCTTGAGGATGCTTCCACTCCTTTTGTATCACTAGGACCGCCCTCAAGAGAAATTTTACAAGATAAATGATTGTTGCCAGGAAAAGGTAGAGCTTGGGGGATGATACTTCTCCAATTTGACCCTCCTGATATATTCTACAAATAATATTGGTCCAGAAAAATTGAAAAAATTCTGTCAGGAACTTTATTTTCATTTTTGTTTTTAATTTCAGCAAAAGAAAATTTCGTGGTAGTTTGTGTTAAAAAACAAAAGGCTAGTAGTTTTTGGATTGCTGAAGACAGATACTAAATTTTATAGTGCATTGTTAGCCGGAGTTCTGTTGTTAGGAGTTTCATTGATTGTAACAATTCAATCAAGACAAACTTGCATCTTCTTTGGTAGAATTGATTATCAAGTTGATTTAATCAGTTAATTTATGTTAGCAGATATTTGATTCAATTTATATTGAACTATTTGTTTAGCGATGATATTTTATTAGAAATTTGGTTAATAACTTTTCTTATGGGCATTTTCTCCTGTAAGTAAGAGACCCCAAGGCTTTATCAAAGAGGTATTAGGGCTCTCCCTCCCATCTCCTCCCTTTCCCATTCTCCAATCGCCCTTCTCTATCTCCAAAAAAACTTCTATACTTCTACCTACAAAGCTTGAAATTATTGGGTTTTAATTTCATATAAGATTAGTGAAAAATTTATTGGTAAAAGAAAATCAAATGATTGACCCTTTCCCAAAGGCATATGTTTTTGGGTAAAAATTGATTTAACAATGTAACAAGCCTAACTTTTCTCACCCTCCAGTTTACAATTTAACAAATAGTATTAAGAGCATTTGATTTGACTGAGATCAATTAGTTCAAACAGTTTATGGGTTTTAGTACAAAAATTTGAGCATAGTACAAAAATTTGCAACTCTCACATTGGAACCATAAAGATGAGTGGGCTTTTAGCACATGAACTTGATTATGTTAATTTTGTTTGTTTGTTTGTTTGTTTGTTGAGGGAGAATGATGAACCATATAAAAGACTCATGTGAAAGAGAAGGTCAAGGCGTACAAAAATATTTAATTTAGTCCTTTAATAGATAAATGTGGGCTCCGAAAATTCGACCCCGGCCTCCGAAAAAAAACTCTTTATATAGAAAAATAATAATTAGCCCTCTCTCTTTGGCTTGAGGTTTTGGGTAAAAGATAAATTTAATCATTAATGCATCATACCAAGTTTTATTTTGCACTGGACTTCTACCCTCTCGGAGCCACTCTCAAATATCTCTTAAAGCCTCTTATATATTTTTTCAACTACAACCATTGCAAAATGTTGTAGCAGGAGTTCCTTACCCAAGCTACAAACCCAACACAACCCAAAAAATCCATACTTCCCTCTCCAGTGAACCTCATCTTCAAAATTCGCTCCAGTGCAACCCAAACTCTCAAATTGGTTACACTAAATTAAAGCTAAATTCAATGCTGAGAGTCTGAGACTGAAATTGAAAAGGTGTAACGCTGAAAAAAGTGCACCATTTTCTTTGCCACGGTCACTGTGATCAAAGCAATAATCTTCCGAGATTATTTCCTCCCGGAAGACTTTCCTCCTTTCCTTTGCCTTTTCTGCATATCCTACATTGAGTTTCCTTACTGTTTTGTACTTTGCACCCTTAGATTGTTGTCATTTCCGACACTATCCAAAACAGTAATCAAACACCTGAAATAATTACAAACCGCCCGGTTATCGAAATGACAACAACTGGTTATCGAAATCAACCATCATTCTTTGGGTTGAAAACTCCTTGCTGTTCATAAGAAGCAGCGTGGAGCCGTGGAGTTATTTGGCACGCCATGCATAGGAACTATGCCTAGAAAACTCCATATATCCATTACTTGAGCGTCAAATAAAAACCTACCCCTTCTTTGATGAACATGAATAAATTATCTCCACTTAACTTTAAAAGTGATATATCATGAGCTCAAATCTTCCTTGTTTCGAACCACAAGATATGAATAAATTTAATTTACACTTGTATGAATTGAGTTGATGCAGTGAAAATTGAATCTTCCATGTTTTTAATTTCAGTTGTCAACATAATAATTTATTCATATAATTCTGCTTAGGTTGCACACCCGTTGGTTGTATATCTTTTCATTTTACAACACATCTATTTACATCTCTCATTGCATCTAAATAGATTCATCATAACAATGGGATTTCACAAAAGGCAAGTGAACTTATACCCAAGAGTAAAATGAATCTATATATATGTATATATACAGATTGATTGACCCACAACATCTAATAAGAAAAGCTCTTAAGATAGATCTTTAAGGTAAATAATGTCGATTAGTACCATGCACATCACCCTAAAATCATAATTCTCATAACCCTCTTTATAATGATAAATATGTTCAGGCCTTTATAAACAAAGTCCTCCATATTATCAACAAAATAGAAAGCCTGAAGCCAACCACATCCATTCCATAAGAATTTTGTTAAGGACAATATTGATTATCCCAATCTAGTCAAACCAATGATTCCATAGTTTCACCTAAAGATATTCCCTCAAATATCCGAGTTTCAAGAGATGGTTCCTGAATTAAATCTCCTAAAAAAAATGATCTAGTCATATTGAGGTTACAGAAGACTACAAACTTCTTTATGTTGATGAATTTAAAGAAGATTATTCATTAAATGATGATTTTATGTTGAATCTACACTTGAATTTGACCTTAAATCTAAAGATTGAACTTAAACATGCACACACAACCACACCTAAGCTCACACTTGCATTTCTTATGGATCTAAACTAGACTCCAAATTTAAGCCTAAAACTAGATTCAAAAGTGAGAGCAATTCATATTTGTTGACGCTGCAAGTATAGTTAAGGCTTCTCATTCTCTCATTAACTGGGAATTATGTGTTGAGATTCATCATTTGCAGGTGTTTCTGTAAGACATTGGTTATGTATTTGCAGGTATTTCTGTAAGACATCGAGATATAGGACCTATTTGGAGAATTTAGATTACAGCTATATAAATACAAACTTTTTGTGGCTTCCTTCATTGAAGCTTGGTCAAAGGATGCTTTTGGCATTAAAGATTTGATGGATAAACCATCTAATTTCACTTCAGCTCAATGCACTTTCAAAAATTAGTTTGAATTCCTAAAATACATATTTTCCTAAAGAGAGCTACGAAACTTAGACTCTCGGATTCTTCTAGCGCCTTTTGTACTTACTTTTCTAGAATCTTTTACTGCTGAAATTCTCATTATGTTTTTTACATCACAGTACAGTAGAAAAGTCCATAAATGTATACTAACTATAGCGCCTTTCCTTTGGTACGTGTCTCGTGTGTACGAAGCGAGCTCTAAGATCACATCCTTGGTTCTTTTACATTAAGAACTACATAAACCATTCAGTCAGATAGAACTCCTCTCCTTTCAGTCGAGTGGACAGGAAGACGTCCCAAGAAATCCAATAAGTAAGAACGAGCTTCCGATGACAAGGGATGTGATTTTCTCATACGAGAAAATCTTCCAGCGGAAGATTTGTTGGAACGAAAGCAGGATGATCTGAAGAAGAGCTGAGTACCTGCGAGAGCGGAGACAGGACAAGCTGGCATAGAGCTTGACGATGCGTTCAAAGGATAATGAGGTGCGAGCGAACGAACTGGTGGAAGACGAATTCCTCGAGGTTACAAGCCGTTCATAACATGGATTGCCTGATGGAAAGGTGATGGCGAACGAATACGAGGAGGGAGTGTACCGAACGACTGCTGGACGAGATTATTCAATGGATCAAGCAAAGCTCTAGTTCTCTTTTCAAGAAAAAATGTGTTCTTCGAAAGAACCAGAGTTCGCCAATTAGCTCGAGCAGGAGTTTATGAAAAGCTGATAAAAAGAAACCAAATGTCGGAGGCGGAAACAAGAAACGGAAGACTGAGGTCGCAAGGGAGGACGGAACCCCACTTCGACTCACCGGGAAAACATTTGCAGATGCGACCATGAATCGAACCAGGTCGAAACACTGTCGACGGACAAACTTTGCGTTAACGTCGATCGGGATGGCCAGGCCCCGATTCCCAGGGTTAGGGTATTTCCTATGTTGAACCTACTCAGATCAGAACTAAACTTGTTTCTTCTCTTTCATCTATCGGCCAGCCGACTTTAAGCAACCTTCGCATTTCCTGCTGAGATCCCAAGTCTCCAAGTGGGTCCTCTTGGCCACCCACGACCTTGGCTTTTTAGAGAATCCCGCTCCTGTGTCATAGGACTTGTAGCTCAACAGTCCACCGGGTAGGTTTTTCTTCCAGTTTCGAGTGTCTTCTTGGATAGTTATAGCGGCCCATAGGCTCGTTGATTCCGCTCGTTCCTGTCCTTCGCTTCAGGGCCTGTCCCTTGGTGTGGTTAGTACTCCATACTATCGGGAAGCAAAGCTTACACTTGTTCACTTAATATGACGGTTCACCAGGGCCTCTTTCCTCCTCCCTTTTCTGCTCACTCGTAGGGGTCCGGACCCCCACTAAGGGGGAGGGAGTCGACTGAACATCTCAGCCATTGGCGGGAATTTCGCCCGCATCCGATCCCCAATTCTTGTTCACCCCGGATGATCGTGTTGGGTGAATTGTGACCTCGTACGATCGTGTTGGGTGAGCAACAGCCGCTTCGTCACAGCACAGTACTGAGGCTAACGGGTCACACTTTGGCCAAGTATCCTACAAAGAGACTCCCGAGAGCCATAAGTATTGAAGGAATGGCCATAGGAATGGGCGCATCATGACATTGTAATCTGTCTCGCCCGAATGAATTAGTTGGTACTAGAAATGTGAGAAATATGAAATGAAAAGAGTAATAAGAAGTGAAAAGGACAGAGACACTTCCCAACCAGAAATCAAAGTTACCACTGATGGTATACTTAGTGTAATGCAAAGTTACCACTGATGGTATACTTAGTGTAAGAGAGCTCTAAGATCACATCTAAGATCACATCCGCTGTCAATTTGATTTCACACTGCTTGCTTATCATCACATAGTTGCCCAACTGATATGAGAATCTTTTTTACTAACATATAAGACATCAGAAAGAACTATTGTGCCAGCACATGCATTTTGAATATTTCAAAAGAGAATTGACAATGGAGAGTTGTCACCCGTATACAAAAAAGTCATACCTGAGTATGGAGCAAATGAAACAAAGGCATTGGGATCCCCTGTTATTTGGTTACTTGCTGCTGTATCATAGTACCTTTTCTTAGCATACATTTCATTTTTCAGAGGCAGATTAGGAACCGGTAAAAGCAAGATGAAAAACAATGTTGAGCTAGCGCCTTGCTTCATTCCAAATTGAAGAAAAAAAAAACATCTTTGATTACGATGAAAAGGAACAAGAAAAAATAGACCAAGATCCATTTTCGGTTCTTGGTTCACATAATATGCCATAAGATCTTCGATCCCTGTGCCAGAATACTGAAAAATTCTGTAGGAGAATAGTCCACTTCTTTTTTTTTCAGAAAGGGGGTGGGAAAGCTGCTGTCATTCTTTGGAGCCCGGTTCTCTTTATCTTCGAGCTTTCATTCCGAGGGTTAGGGTCAAGGGTCGGTCGAGCCGCGTAGCGCCTCTCCTTTCAGTCGAGCGATTGCTCCGCACCTCAATCCACTTATTCGTTCTTTCATAGACCTCCCCACCAATAGATAGAGACAAATGGGAATAACCGAACCACGTCTACAAAATGCCAGTACCATGCAGCTGCTTCAAAGCCAACGTGATGCTCCTTGGTCAGATGACCAAGATATTGGCGAATACAACATATGATCAAGAAGAGAGTACCTATAATCACATGAAAACCATGAAAGCCAGTTGCTAAGAAAAAGGTAGAACCATAAATACTATCCGAAATAGTGGAGGGTGCTTGGTAATATTCCATTCCTTGAAAGCCAGTGAATACTAGAGCCAGTGAAACGGTAGCTACTAAAGCGTAAACTGCTCGTTTTTCCTTCCCCGCGAGTATAGCATGATGAGCCCAAGTTACGGCAGCTCCGGATGAAGGGAGAATAGGAGTATTAAGAAAAGGGATTTCCCGAGGATCTAAAACCCCAATCCCTTTTGGGGGCCAAATAGGTAATATTCCATTCCTTGTTCAAGTTTTTTTATTTAAGAATCGAGTATTTAAAATATTGTTCAAATTTGTTTGTTTAGTTAATTAAACGATCACAAACGAGCTTTAATCAAACCGAAGTTGTTCGTCGAACGTTTGGTTCGCTTGCAGCCCTATGCAAAGTCAAACTGCTTAAGTCATATATAATATAAGTTGCTCTAAATAGAAAACTAAAAAAATGAAACATAAAGTGTAAAAAGAATCATTTTTTTTTTTCTAAAAAGAAACTAAAGAATAAAAACAGTAACTTTTAACTTAAATGCAGCAAACGAAATAATAAGATTTTGATCTTATACTCTTATATACAAAGCTAAAAATAGTGAAACAGAAAGTGTTAAACGAAGCGAATTTTTTTTCCTAAACATAAAACTAAAGAATAAAAACATTAACTTATAACTTAAATCCAACAAACGAAACAATTAGATTTTGGTCTTACACTCTTATATACAAAACAAAAATAGCTTCTAAATAGAAACGGTAAAACGAATCACAAAAAATTTAAGATTTTGAGAACTGCTTACCTTAAGGACTTCAAATACGGGATGCCGGATCGAAGATGGTAGAAGGTACTAAGAAATCGACTGCATGGGCTGGACGAACTGGTGGAGGCCGGCTTGGATGCATCGGTGGAGGCTAGCTGGATGCACGGTTTGAATTTACAGTTCGAACTCGTGCGTGGATCCATGAGATGATCCTCGTGCGTGAAATCCGAATACAAGGCTGCATGCACCGTGGATGTTGGAGGCAGAGGCGACGACTACACGAGCTTCCTTCACCGCGAGAGCTTCTAAATCATGTGGAACATCCGAAATATTAGGGCGAGAGAAAGTCGAACCACCCAAAAACCCCATCCATGCGCATGTATAGAGTTTTTTTTCCCAGAGGGGGCACGTGCCCCCGCGGGACCACGCTTAAATTCGCCGTTGCTTCCCGGCTTGCTTTCTTTATTCTGATGTTTTGAAGAAAGAGCCGGGCACGTACGCATGCGTCGGTTCATTCGGGATGCTCTCTACCGTTGGGTTCTGAAACCGAGATGGTCTTTCGCTCTTTGCTCACATAAGCCTGACTCAATACGAAACGATGGAGCTCCATTCCTAGCGAATCCCACAGCGATCTATTCGAAAAAGAACTGAACACTTTGCTGAGGAGCAAAAGCTGACTCAGCTTATAGTACTCATATGAGTAGGAAAGATCCTAGCTGCCTACCTTTCGTTCTTCTCCTAGGCAGTCGAACGAGGCGCGAGGTCTCCTACAGCTCTGCCACCTATGCACGAAATTGAATGTTGATACACAGGAGTTGTGAACTTTTCAAAACGATGGAACTTGAAGATGCACGCATGATATGAATCATCTGGAACAATAGAAGAATTTCATAGAAGAGGTAAAGAAAGCTCGAATGAGGAACGTGCACTATAGCTGGCATCGACCCACTTTGCAATACGAACGAAAGACCGGAGGGGAATACCGCATAAGCCTTTTCTTTGGTGATGATCAATCTTTGGGTGAAGCCTTTGTTGCTGGTGGTGGTGAAGGAAGGCGGAGAAATGGAATCTGCTTTGATTATTGTAGCATAAGCCTTTGCCACTGCATAACTCCTATGAATACTTGCTAATAGCCTAATATTTGAACATCTAAAGTGGGACCCGAAACTTCTTCGCGTATGTCTGTATAATAATGAAAATCATACTTTCTCTAGAAAGCTCATTGGTCTTACTTCAACGCATATGTCTGTATTATACTATTATATGTTGATTGTGATGAATTACTTGTAGTTCATTTACATGAGACATTTATTGATTCTAGCATTAAACGTAATGCATAATAAAAATATTAAAACTGCATTAGGTATTTATCATAAGTTCTTGAATTGTTTTGTCTTATGAAATTGGAAGTCATCATTTTTCTAGAAAGCTTATATTGATCTTATTTTAATACCACTATATGCATTATATTTTGATTGTATTTAATTAATAGCAGTACATTTACATAATAGATGTCTGAGTCATGCATCGGAAAAAAATTAATAATTGCAGAGTATCATTCTAAATATATAAGGTAAAAATGATAAAGCTTGTTTTTTAATTTATCAATCATATTCCACATGCAATAAAATACTAACCAAATCCTCAAGGACTTACCTTATTTTTAGAAAGCTAATTCCTATAATATTGTATTTGTTATGCCTTTCAAACATGAATGCTAGTCATATTTTCTATGTTGAGAATCTATTAGCTTACATAGGCATTTCTAAGCATCCAAAATTTCTTGTAGGCATCTTTGCAAGCAAAGCTTCTAACCGATAGTAGCACTAGTTCCAGTTCTTCCACCAAATCCAAGAATATCAAATAGAGTAGATTTTATCTGATGAAGTCACATCAGGTCCTTCAGCTATCATTATTATTTATTTTGTTGACAACATCTTGAATTGCCAGATAGAGCAGATTTTATCTAATGAGGTCACACCAGGTCCTTAAGCTGGGCATGGCTTTATTATTTATTTTGTTGGCAACATCTTCCATTGTCAGATAATCTGTAGGTGACACATGATGAGTTGCGACGAACTCTATCCCACCATGACTGACAAGCACATTTAGCAAAACTCTCTCTCCCTCCCTACCAATAAACAAGACCTTAGAGCTTATCATGAATAAAAAATATTAGATAACTCTTTCCTCTGCCTCTTATAGCTTTTTACATGAATTACAAACATTGCAAAATGATGCAATAGGAGTTCCCTATCCAAGCTCCACCCAAACACAAAACAATCAACCCAATTTTCCCTCTCCTTATTATCAACTCAAACCCTGCCAAAACTCCCTCAAAAACCTACTGAATGAAGGCTGAATTATCTGCTGAAACACAGAAACTGTAAAGCTGAAAACAGCGCATCACTTTACTTTACTAATGTTGCTGCGATCTTCTTTCACCTCCCTCTATATTATTGTCCATGCTTTTTCTATATAGTCAAATCTAACAAGGCTTTGAATGAAAACAACATGATTTTTTAAACAAATACAAAAAGTTTAAATGAAGTTTTATATCTAAAGTCCTGTCATGACATTTAAACTTTGCAAAGCTGTGAAATGGAATTATGGGTACTGTGATTATGCCAAGCTGAACAAGTTTAACTACCTTAGTTACTCAGGCAAAAACTTAAGGTGCACTATGTATGATAAGCCTCGAGAAGTACCTCATTTCTCTGCTTCTTCTCATGGCTGAGAAAAGCAAGGCTAGTGTCGAAGTCTTGTTGAACAACTTTCCTGTTGGCAAGACAATATAGAAGAAAGTCTTAAACTGGCATTAGCAAATGACTATAAAGAATAAAAAGAAAGAGAGGAAGGGGAGGCATGGATGGTATAGTTCCTAGCGGATGGCATCAACTTACTCTCCTTTAGTGGCAACCTACAACTGATGCATGCGCATAAATTTTATGTAAAATTACAATCCTAGTAAATGATGCAAGGCTTTGCATGTACTATGATGGATTTGCTTTTCAGGTATCATTGCAATAAGAGGAAAGCAGTAGCGAACAACATATCAAGAGCAGAACCAAAGACTAATAATATTGATTTTTACAAGTAGAGAAAATGCAGAAAATATCCAAGTTCCCAAGAATGCACAAAAAACGGAAAATATTAAATGCTAAGAAATATACACAGACATACTTTTTTTTTTTTTTCATGATAGGTATCATTCTTACTTTCACAAGCATATTTTATAATAGGTATCATTCATTCTATTCATGATAGGCTCAAAAACCGAATTAGAAGAGAGAAAATTATAAATGACTACAGCTTTATTGAATTGTCTTATGTTAGACCGGTCCAACCGGTCCATGCGGGAACGACCCATGCTGTACTCCCAATCGGATTGCTCCAGCATGAGAGAGCTGTTTAGGAAGGATTTTTGAGGGAATTAGCAGGGAAATTCAAAGTAGGGGTTGTTTAGAGATTTTCTTTTGAATCTTATAAATTAAGTAGTATGTTTTGCTAGGGTTAATGATGAGGACATCAGTAGGAGATTCTGGAATGTCTACCACCGGAAGCATCATAGATCAACGGCTATGATGAGTTTATATATTTGATATATTTTATGTATTAGTTCAGATTTTCTTTATTTAAGTTTATACCCTTGTGTGTTGACTTGAGTTGTAGCCCCATGAGCATGTTAGTCTTTTTTTCTTTTCTTTTCTATATGGCCTATATATTAGGTCCTTGGTCTTGTATTTGGATGATGATTATGAATGAAATTTCAGTTTTTCTTGTTTGATCTCTTTATGAGTTCTTGAAAGGAGAAACCCTAGGAGAGGGCCCTGCAACACCCATCAGCCGCCGGTGGTTTCGGAACTCGCGGTCCATCATCATTCTTCCCCTTCACACCCAGCCAACCCACTCCCCTTCCCCCCATTGCCGGCCAACCCAACTCATCTCCCCAACCGTCGGCCCACCTTGCCAAATTTCCCCTAAACCACCGGCCAACCCTCCTCCCACTCCAAGCCGCCGACAACTCTCACCCATAAACTGATGCTATCAAGAATTTTGTGAGTTCTTGAGAGGAGAAACCCTACGAGAGGGTCTTGCATCACCCGTCAGCCACCGGTGGATTCCGGGACTCGCAGTTAGTATTCGTAATATTTTCTTCGTTTTCCTTTCCCTATCACCAGCCACTGTATCTTCCCTCCCACCACCGCCGACCAATCCAACCTACCTCCTCCACCGGCCAGCATTTTTCCCCAATTTCCTTCTAAGCTGCCGGCCACCCCTCACCCCATCCACATGCCGACGGTCACCCCACCTTCACCCCCAAACCATCGGCCTAGTTAGCCGTAACCCCACTGCCGGCCACCCCCTTCCTATTTCCCCTTGGATGATGAAATCAATCTTCATTAACACCTACTTAAAATAGCCTAATTGGTTTGAGAAAGATCTAAATAATTTGGAATTCAAATTTCAAATTTCAAATACTTTCCTAAATTAAGAAAGCTAAATTAGGAAAGTTTATAAATTGGGATCTAATTTAATTTTAAATTAGATTGGTCATTCCTATTTCATCCTTAATTAATAGGAGTGCATTAGGAAACTATTAAACCTAGGGCTGCAAGCGAACCAAACGTTCGACGAGCTGCTCGTTGTTCGACAAGCTACTCGTTGTTCGACGAGCTACTCGTTGTTCGGTTCGATTAAAGCTCGTTTGCGATCGTTTAATTAACTGTTGATCTCATTTTTGTATGAGGTCATTAAGGACCCGTCCAGATCAATCTTAACCTTACATTAATCCAGACCCTAGATCCTAGGATCTATCTGATCCTTAGGACTATTTCAGATCTAACCCTTGAGATGATCTAATCTAGAGCTCAATACCCTCCTAGAATCTATATTTTAAGATCTATCTAAATTCTAGGATCCTTCTAGACTACAAGCCTTAGGATCTATTCCGGATCTTATGACCCTTCTAGATCCAGACCCTGTGATCTTCTCAGGCCTTAGCAATTGCCTAGACCTTAAGATCAATTTAGATCCCAGATCAATCTAGACCTCAAATCAATCCTGACTCCAATTCAAACCTGATCTCAATTCAATCCAATCCTCAATTAAAATCCAGACTCCAGTCCAGTTTAAGATCTTAATCTTCAGTTCAAACCTTGATCTTATTTTTGATCGAACTTCAACCTTATCCAATCAATTATGATCTTCCAAATGATCATAAATGATTTAGATAACTCAAACTTAATTAATCAAACTCAAAATTCAGATCAAATCCAAAATCCAGACCAAAATCCTAAGTCTAAAGGCCAAGTCCTAAAAGCCTTTTCCAGTGAATTTTCAAAAACTTCAAAACCCTATCAAATGACCTCTGATT